GGTTCATTCTGTTCCTTCTGGCTGGCTGGCTGGCTGACTGGCTGGCTGGCTGACTGGCTGGCTGCCTGGCTGCCTGGTTAAAATGGTTTCCAGCTGCTTATTGGCATTGAAGTCTGTTTGAGTTATGGCTTTGCTTTGGCTGTTTGACTTAAGGTACTGCAGGGAAGCCATTAAAGTTATTGCCCCTCCCTCCCCGCTCTACCCCCGCACAGAGTTCGGGGCTCCCCGTTCAGCTTCAGTGCACTACTGGAATCGAAGGAGGTGAGGGGTATTGCGTACACGTTCAAGGGTGGCCCATGGCCGAATCATTCATCATTCATCGATCAACTAGCGAGTATTTTTGCAGCGTTTTTCCCAGCTATTCAAATGAGAGGAAAACCCTCCTTTCTTCCAACATTAATTGAGAGCAATTAGAGGCTGCAGCAAATGTCACTTTGATGACCTCTGATACCATTTGTGGATTAATATCCGCATCCGAAATGCCGCAGCACACAAAAACCACCGCTCCACATTTCAATTTGATGACCTAATGACCTCGCCTTCTGGGGCGCAGGCGGATCCAGGGGCGTGGCTGTACTGTGCTGTGCTCTGGTCATTGTTTGCCACTTGATGACGAAGGGTTAAATGCTTTAAAGTCAACATTCAAGGCCTTATCGGGGTAGCAGGCAGACAGGAGGCAGGGAGGCAGGGAGCCAAGGAAGCAGGAAGCAGAACCACTTTAAGGGATACATGCCATGCCATGTAGCATCCCTTCGTGCGGCTCCCCTCCTCTGTTGTTGCTGGTAAGCTTTACAAATTTGTTATTAAGATGTTTAAACCCACAAAAAAGCGCTCCTGATATGTGGCTTCGCACACAAGAAATACCCAAAGAACGGCACAAAAAATTGCCACAAATAAATGAGCAAATAAATAACAAGTTGCCCTAGCGAATGTTTTGTGTGACTGGCCACATGATAGGAGTATATCGCAGAGGAGGGGAGATGACGGTCTGCTGGAAGGTTCTTTTAAGAGGTAGAGATTCCTGACTGCTTCAGGTACAGAGGTTGTGTCGCCGCAGGGCAAGGAATATTCTCGAGTAAGCAATTGAATGTGCACAGCAGTACACACACACACACACACACACACACACACACACACACAGACAGATACAGATACATTTATATCTAAACAGCCACAACTATTGAGAGAGAGAGAGAATTCGTCGCCGAAAACTAATTTCATCAAATAGTTCCCGTCCTTTCAGTAAATTGAATTTCGATTGGCAGCAAGTCGGGGTTAAATTTTGAATTAAATACGCAACTAAATCTTGAATAAGTGTTCTACGTTAAGGTATATCCATTTGAAGATTTGAAGATACATACATTTAAAATTCAGCCGTGCTTTATCTTTCTCTTTCAATACTGGAAAGGAAAATTATCACTTATTATCATTATTATTATTCAACAGCTGTTTCTTTTGACCCACCTCGAGTTAGTCCCATTGATACACTCTCATTTCTATGTAAACTACCGCGTCTCTGATCAGTGCAACAATCAAACGTTGCTCTGTCATTTCTAGCATTCATTATTAGGTATATTTCTGGGGCCATCTATGGCCTTCCTCTTGTGTCCTAGTTATTCGCATCTTTGGTAGCATTTCTCATTGCACTTCCCCTACTATTAACATCCTTAGGCCCAGTTCTACATCCACCTCTCCGCTCTCCGCTCACTGCTCTCATCTCTAACGACCCCACTCAACATACATAAGTGATGTATCCTCGAGAATTAAAAACTTCCCCCACCACACCGCACCACACACATGAAAAATGAAATAAAGCACACACGCACACACACAGACACACATAGATACAAACGCCTGGCCACACGCGCATATGTTACGCATACGCCGCGTGGCACACGGCCCAGGTCCCACGTGTAGGGGAAATTTAAAAATGCTGGTCACTGGCTGTCCCTGCTGCTGTTGCTGCTGCTGCTGCTGCTGCTGCGGTACGCAATTGCGTGGCTAAACCATAAATCACAGTGCCTGCACAACGCCAACACCTGCCAACCGAATTGAGGTTTGGGCAGGGTAGAGTTTTGTTCTGGCAAGAGGGGAGCCTTGAGCAAATGCACTAATTTCCATGCACCTTTGCCATGGATATTGATATATCAACATAATACTACAAATCAATGCATACACGTGGGTGCATGGGTGCATGGGTGCATGCGGGCTTGAGAGCGGTGTGTGTACGATTATGTTTGTGGATGACAATGGTTTGCCTTGGGGGTGGGGGGGTGGGGTCAGCATCATTAGCATCAAAGTAAATTTACGTTTATAAATTAGACCGAGGCCAAAAACGAACTCAATGGCGGCCATAATTCAGGTAAATCATAGAAACCTACAGATGGATAGAGAATGCATCCTCCCACAACCACTACCACTCCACTCCCTCTTTTGGCACTCCCCCAACCCCCTCCTGCAATGTATGCAAAATACATTGCCGTAATTCCATTTCGCTCGCCTGCTTGTGCCGGGGCACAACTTATGCAAATTGGCGACTCTTTGCCTTGGCTTGGTCTTTGTCGAGCCAAAGCAGTTGCATACCAGAAATAGAGCTCAAAAGTTTCCCCTCCTTCCGCTACATAGATAGTATACGAGTACTAAGTATATATATAGCATAATATACTATACTCAATTCTCTATATATATGTATATAGGAAAATTGCATGTTTCACTGCAATGAAAACAAATCGCAAAATTACCATAATCAAAGCATAAAAGGGATTTCTGTTTTATTCTTTGGCCCACACTCTCTCCTGCACTCCCCAGCTTCCTGCTTCCTGCTCTCCTTCCAGCTTCCCGCTTTCCGCTTCCCGCTTCCCGCTACTGCTTAGCTTGTTGCCAGGCTCCAAATATAGCTTGCTCTCCTCTGCTCTCCACTCCACTGAATCTTCTCTATTTTTCCCCCGCCTGAGACAAAAGCGAACCTCTTTTCTGTTCTTTTTTTTGTCTGTGTTTTTGAAACTTGTCGACCAAGTTTGCTCGACGAAATATTTTAAAGTAATTGGCCTCGTTTGTTGGCTGCCCGGGAGAACGATGCGAGAGATACGAGAGATGCGAGAACAAGAGCAAATTGAATTTCGAAATAGATCTATTTGAGTTTGGTAATTGGTGCGGGGCTCCTACGAATTGTTTTTGACAAGTTTGCCTCTCGTATTTTATTGCGGTCTCTTCGCCCACGTCTTCCCATCCCCATCCCCCTCCCCCCGTCCACCCTCCCTTGAATGGTGCGTGTAATTGCAACCAGGCAGCCGCAGAAAATGAGAGCGGAAAGAGGAGCGGAACCACCAAGAGAGATACTCGTAGTAGACAAGTTTCAGATGAGTGAACAGTGAATGGGAGATATCCATGTACGGGTAGGGGTTAGAGGGCAAGGGGTATGAAAACCAGCATCGACCTATTCTATTTATGATAATATTACTTCCAATGGTTATAACTTTGGTCAAAATTTGTCTCTAATTTCTGTTGCAGTAGTATTTTCTGTATTCCGCACTCGAATTTTATTCACCCTGATTTTACCATTTTCCTCATTTTTTCAATTTGAATAATGAGTTTATAGTCTGATCGTTGTTTCTATTTTCAAAATGGATATTAAAGAATTGGAAAACATAAGTTCTTTTCAAATACAAATATGCCAAATACAAGATACGAGGGCTGCCTTTTACGTCCGTAGTATGACCTGGCCAAAATCATTCGGTCAAATCCTGCTTAGAACCTTTTCTTTTACGGTGGCTTTTTATACCATTTAACGATAAACGAAAAATGCATCTTTTGGGGAAAACACGCAGGCGATTCTCCAGGCTCACGTACATCGCCATCGCTGCCCTCAATAGATTTTTTAACCAATCAAAACATCGAATCAATGGGTCCTTTGCCTTGCAGTGATTTTCTCATACCTAATGCCATCTTTTTTCCCAGATAAACAAGAAAAATTGAAAGGTCAACGCTTTTCGATGCCGAAAGAGGCCGATTAAGCCTTTTTTAAGGATGCTTCCTTCTGAGTGCCAAAAATAGATTAAAACGTTTCAAAATGTGTTTTCATCTTCCTGGAGAATATTTTGAAAACCAATAAAACCATTTTCAAAGTTTTTTTGTGTGTCCTTCAATATTAATACAAGAAGCAGCCTACGTATGTATATCAATTTATAAAGAATCCTTTAAGCATTTAACATGTAGAAAGCATTAAGGATTCATGCCCTTTACTCTTTAAAGCAACTACAGGATCGCGTCCTAGAAGTTTGAAATAAATATTGGATATGTTGTATGTACATCAGCGGTGGGCATTTGAATTATGTACATAGTTTTTTTTCAAGTTCTTGGGCAATCTCTTTTGCATCATTCGCTTGTACGTGTCGAGTCGAGGATCAAAGTGGGTGCGCTGGCAGCATTTTGGGAGCAAGTGCCCACCGCTGACGTAAACAGTTGGTTTCAAACATATAGTTTTCATTCAGTATTAATAATATATAAATATTCTTGTAAATGATTCCAAATGAATTTTGTAATGAACTTACATCGTATCCAATTTATCAACCAAATAGCTTTTACTACTTCTTCTTGCCACGGGTTGCAGTCTTGGCTAGACGATTTCGAATTTGCAAGCACCTTTCGAATGTCGGACGTCTTTCTTGGATATACTTCGAATGGCTTATTTCCTTGCTAAACGATGTGAATCTTGGAGGACGTACCGACGGATTGCTGTCCAGGCTACGCGAATGTCGAATATATCTCAAATGGTTTCCGACGTAGCTAACGGAACTTTGAATTCCTATTGCGAAAAAAATTATATTTTTACATTGTATTTTCAGTGTATATTTTTACATATTCTTGGAATTTCACTTGTATAAAAAAAATATTGCATTTTCAGTGTTTTCTTTCTCATATATTTTTCTTTTTTATAAAGTTACTAAAGTACAAAAAATTTTCTGCTAAAAAATATTGTTACAATTTTGTATTTAAATTAAAAAAATTTCTACGAAAAAAAAATAGATGTAGACGCGTATGTATGTACATGAAATGTGGAAGACAACAATTGACGGATTGGACCCAAAGTACATGCACAGATAAGTACAGTAGACACTCACTATATGACTATGGACGTAAGATACTTGGATAAACTTGGATTACCAGCTAGGAACACTCAGGACGATACGATGGGGAGACACTTATTACTGAATCTAGAGGGATTCGGGATTTGGATTTGGATTTGGATTGAACGGGATGGATGGAAGGATGGAGGGGAAATGGGGCTTTGAGACTTTGGGAAATTCGATTCAATTCTACTGTGGGTTTGGGGTTGCACCTTCTCCGCAGATTGTATTCGGAAAGCGCTTACCACGCCCACTTGGGGGACACCTTGTCGAAGTTCCACTCATCGGGATGGCCCTCGTGGCCCCCGTCCTCGAGGGGATTCATGTCGGACCACTTGAAGGGTCCACTGCCGATCCGTCGCATGGCAATGGCTCGCATATCATTCCTCACCGGACGCCGTTCCGTGATGAGCTCCATTTCGGCCAGGCTGGCCGCATCATCGATGGTCACACTCAGACGCTCATCGCCAATGGAGGAGGGCACACCCTGACCACCTTGATCCTGCTGCTCCTCCTGGTTGTCCTGGCCCTCCTCGAGGGCCCTCGGCTGGACATGCTGCAGTCGCAGGAAAATGGGACCGGCAAAGGCATGGTAATCGCTCATGCCCAGCCGCGCATTGTAGGAGAAGAGCTTGAGGTCGATGTTGCCATAGGCAATCGACTCCTCGCCGCCAAGGAGATCGCCACGAAAGCCGTGGGTACGCAGGTACTTGTCCACCGACTCCAGGTTCGTCAGCTCCGCCTCATCGGCGGCAGACAGCTGCTGGTCGTCACTGTAGTTGACGCCGCTGGCCTCCAGGGTCTCCTTGAGGTAGGGCACCCCATTGGCCAGCCACGAGGAGTTGCCAGCCACAAGGAAGCTCTGGGTGACATCCCGACTGGGCATGCGACCCGGCAGCTGCTCGGCAATCCAGACCATGTCCTTCAGCTGATCGTGACGCGACTGAATCGCCGCCTTGTCCTTGTCATTCAGCGGCACAGGGGCGTCATCGTGCTTGTCATCGGTGTCCAAAGCATGGTAGAGATTATCCTGTGCTCCCAGTTTATTCAGGTCCACGGTGATCCATTGCTTGGCGCCGGTTGCGGGATGCCTGGCCATGGCCCTCGCCCAGGTGCGTCTATTCTGGGCAATGCGATTGGCGGCCATGACTCGAGCCACCAACGGCACCACATCCTTGGTGTCCACCGACTTCCACAGCTGCAGATTCTCGTTCTTGATGCCCACGCCTCCGACTATGGCCTGCACCTGCCGGCCCTTGATCACATAGAAGTCATCGGTGGAGCCGAGTATACCCGGGTATCCGGTGAAGGTGATGTCCGCTCCGGGCACAGTGTTGCTCCTCTGATTGGGCGAGAAGTGGTAGTGGAACTTGTAGCGCTTCTGTATCCTCAGCATTGAGGAGTAGCTGCCCGCGGTGCTGTGGCCAAAGAGCAGCTGCAGCGTCTGCGGGGACTGTTCCTGCTGGATGATCCGCGTCAGCATCGATGCGCTGGGCAGAAAGAAGTTCTTGGGCTGATCACTGGCCTCCTCCTCCTGCACCGTGTTGTTGGGCAGCACATAGTTCTCGTAGTAGATCTTCAGGTCCTGTATGTCGGCGGCGGCATTCATCAGCAGGAAATCGGACAAAGGTATCTCCTCCTCCAGGTCCGAACGGGCACGCGTGGCGCCTCGAATGTAGCCCGTCTCCAGGCCCTCCAGCTGATTGAAGAACAGATGCAGCTGATGCCAGTAGTGATCGTGATCGGCCCTGATGGCCGCCTGCTTCTTCAGATGCTCAAAGTTGGTCGTGAGCAGATCCCTTAGCCACTCGCAGAACTTCTGGGTGCTCTCATCTCGGTCACAGGATGAGGAAATTGTACTAAAGAAAGGGAATCTATTACAATCCATTGATCTTACTTGATCCCATTGAATGGTCTTACTTGGCCCACTGATTGTAGATGTTCTTCCAGGTGAGGGAACCCTCCAATATACCCGCCGCATAGGCCTGCACCCAGTCCGGATACGATCGCTGTGTCTCCACCTCAATTTGTGCCCAACTAAAGGAGGATATCCATGAGTATTTATCAATTGAATAATGTACTCTAGTCGTAGATCATACCCATTCTCGTAGACCGAGTCCTTGTAGCATATCCTGGCCACACCCTTGGGTATGTTGACCAGATCGTTCTGCTGCTTCCAGTTCTCGATTTGGAAGCCCACCTGCTTGGTCCAGAACGCTGTCGCACAGTAGGTTCCGTCATACTCCGGTCGATCCATGTAGCCAATGAAGAAGGCACCGATCACCAGTAATCCAGCTCCGATGAGTATGTAAGTCCCTATCCGTGTTTTCTGCCATGATGCACCTACAACTTTAAGCATTGTTCCGGCCGTCGTGAGGCTGATTTAAATCCAAAGAAAAGGCTATATACAGATCACGGGCTGAATCGCTTCGGTGGGGGATCGGATCAGCGTATCAGCGTATCAGCGTATCAGTGTTCCTTGCTATAATTGAGATCGGCCCGTGCAGCGTACGAGTGGCCAAAGCGTTGACGGATCAGCTGGCCAGTGTGATGGGGGATGCAGGAGCTGGATCTGGAGCAGGAGTAGGAGCAGGAGCAGGTGCTGTTGATGGTGGCCACGCTGTAAAGCGATGCGGCCGAGTGGTTCATTGGTGTTGCAGAGAGATTCCAAATAGGTTCAATTGGGTCTATTGTTGGATGTCCTATGGATGGATTTGGATATGGATATGGATATGGATATGGATGTTTTGATGTTCTCTTGGGCTATGTCTTTTGAGGTTCAAGTTGTATCCCTGTAACAAAACAGATCAGTTTTCGATTAGAGCACGCAAAAATCATATTTATTTAAATTCGGGAAATTCCGCCCATTCAGCTGTCCATTTATTCTAAATATTTATTCAGCGCCCAATATCTCTCGCCCCATTTTGCATAATAAACAATTTTGGAAGATTTTCGATGATCTGCTCATCCAGAATTATTACCCACTCGTACTCGTATAAGAGATTCCCTTTACGTTACCCTTGAACCAGTTTAAACATGTATTGTATTCATCTTTATCCACTTTCTTCTACTTCTACTCAAAGATGATCTGATCCCATCTATGTTTATTTCACACTTTCCCTCTGGTTTTTTTGCAAATGAAATTCCATTCCATGGGTAAACAAATTTAAAGCATTTGTAAAACTAATAAATTAATTTTATGGCCGGAATGGTACTTGCTTTATGGCAAAAGAACAGCAGCTACTGCTGGACTGGGTCTAAATTGGTTAAGAGAGTGTTGCTCGAAGATAAGCAGAACATCTGCGGCTCCCCCACAACCCCTATCATAAAAGTATCCACAAGATCGTGCCACACACAGAGAAAAGTGTTTAAAGCAAGTTTATTTAGCCTATCTGGTAGTAGGGGTTGTGTCTTTGTCCCACGGGCAAGTTAATAAACAACATTCTAATTGCAAAACGGCAGAAGGCAATTGGCAAATTACTTTGGCCATCTTTAAATAATGGACTCGAAATTCTATTAGCATTCACAGCCAAAGCCCAAGAAGCTCTTTCACAATCCGCAAAGTATAATCTCATTGTGGGGGGAAAATTCCAAAAAAAAATTTGATTCGAAACTAAAAGCAATATCAAAACCAAAACAAAAGCAAAAACCAAAATCAAAACAATATCATTCGTCTGGCACGTGTAGCAGGCGCATTCCTTGTGCAAATTTTCTTCAAGAAAATCTAATAGTATTATAGCATCAGTCAGTCATCGGGTAAATACAATTAAACATTTATATTGATGGCTATTACGAGTACTATATCCCATAATACGTTTCTGCTTTCTGGTATCTGGTTTTTGATTTTTGATTTTTCCTTTTTGCTTTTTGCACACAACGGAAATGACCGAAGGCGCAAATATTTACGAAATCGAATGGAATGGTTTCTACCCCAAATAAATGGATATCCATCCACATACTAGATGTAATTGTTTAGACCGAATGTAAATCATCGGGCATCGAGTGATCTTGTGGTGGCTTTCTTACCTTTTTATTTCCCGGGTCCAGGAAGCTGCAATGTCACAAGTCAACCCATTTGAAGAACTGCAATGGAAGGAAAAACGGGAGAGATTACGATTAGTCTGGGGGTCTGGTATATTAAACAAAGGCGCCTTTAATGGCTCAGCAGTTGGCGATCTTTGGGTTCTTTGTTTATTTATCTCGTGTCTCGTGATTTGTCTCATGTCCGCCGATAGGACCCACAAAGGAGGCTCCCCGTAGTCTCAGAGTCGCAGAGTCCCACAATCCCACAGTCTCTGTTTACTTTTGGGTCAGAGCTGGACACGAGCACGCGTTGTGCCCTGAATTTTGTTTGTGTCATAAAATGTTGATCGTGGCAGTCATTTGATATGATATATGACCACCATGCTAATTGATTGGTGGTCTCTCCCTCTCTGTGGGAGTCATCGTAGCCAATGAAGGCATTATGGATATTGAGTCGTAAAACCCAAATGAATGACAGGGTGGGGTAGGTGGCGTAGAAAGTTCCAATGGGATGTTCGAATGGGAGGTTCCAAATCAATCATTTTTCTGTACTCTGGACTAGAATAAGTCGTAGTTTAATAACTTGGCAACAGCAACTAAGCCCTTCTACTGGTTTTTGGTTATTCAAACTGATTCTCGTTCCATCACCTGACTTTGAATGAAGTAATCCCTAGATCTATGTGTCTCTCTCCCAGTGAATCATTTTCCTGGAAGACATTGGGGTGGATTTTCAAGGCCCAGAGAGAGAGAGAGAGAGAGGAATGTAAACAATTTCATTGCAATTGAAAGGAAAAGGTGAAGGAGAGGAAGAGGGAGAGGGAGAAGGTAAAGCGAAACAGAAACAAAAATTAATGTTCCATTACCATTTCCATTACCATTTCAGTCTTCAGTCTGTGAAAATAAACAGCAATCAAGTTTGAAGTGAAAATGGCAGCAGCGGCAGCAGCCCCAAGACGGACGGACATCAATCGCCCGAATATCAATGGAACAAGTTTATATTTATTGAAAAAACAATAATATTAAAGGTATAATCCAGAGCAGACTTAATTGTCTTGCCCTCTGAGAAGGCCAGGGGCTGTCAATACGGATATCATGCAGATACCAGAAGGTATGGCATCCAGAGATCTGCTCCATCCGCACGTTGGGTGCAGGGTACACTCCGTCACGGGACTGACGTCAGGAATTAGCACTATACCGCTATATCGCTCTAGAAAGCCTCTAAAAAAAACACAAAGCTGTCTAAAATAGCAACGGTAGCGTAAAAATACAAGCGATAGAGCATCCCACTGACGTCTTTTGCGGCTCACTTAACTTGCTTAAGCCCCGATTAACATCATTATCGCTGTTTAAACACAGTTGTTTTTTGTTTCAGTCTATACCTCAGAGTACGCTAGAGGTACTTCAGTTCTGTATACCAGCCTTAGCTGCAGAACCACTGAGCTACTGAACTAGATGGTGTTCAATCAAACTATAGTCTAGAGCAAATAGTTTACCCTGCCTATCGTTTACCGACTGCCACTGAAACTGTCACTAAGGGGGACTAAATATTGATAAGATTAGGCCGGGTATGTCCCATACATACTTATTTATGAGTGGAAATATTTATGTAGATATCTGCATGTCTAGCTTTTGGCATATTAAGAACGCCAGTTCAATCAATCGGTAGTCTGGGAAGAGTCAGTGGAGCGCCGCAGATAAGATAATTCCCACAATTTGTAAGGGGAATTTATGCCTAGAGTAGGTACATATATGTATATAATAAATTCAAACGAGTGTAGTCTCTCTTCATCATAATTGTTGGGATCTTGTGATTGCTGGGGCCATAAATTAAATCCCACATCTCTTTTCCAAAATTTATAAACTAAATAAACAACACAAATAGGTACTTTTCATTTTCTTTATATTAAGTCTGCAGTAAAAAGCAAAATCATACTATTTCCTAGAACTTCCAGCGCAGCGCCACATGTGGCATGCGGTAATACGGTACGTGTCTTCACGTGCCACGTGAGTGATACAGGAAATACACACATCTACCCGCTACCGTGAGGGTCTCCAATCGTGGGAATGTCTCAATGAATAACCAAAAGAAAAAAATGAAACGTCGACTATGCATAAATAAATGGGCAGTGGCCAGGTTTTAGAGCTTTTGAATGGCCCAATCAATTTGGCTAACAGAAAAAACTGCTTACTCGGCTGCTGCCACGCGTCGCCACAGATATGATAAGCCCCTCCATTCCGAGTAAACGGATGCCTCACAAAGCACCAAAGTCCAGAGTCAGCTATGCAAATGCCCCTCCCCGCGCTATGGTTCTGTAATATCAGACGCCAGCAGATCAGCAGCAAATGGGGAGATACTGTATCTTTTGTGGATATGGCACAAATTTTCAGAGCTAACAGAATCCGCAAGCAGACGGAGAGACAAGTGTTTAGAGTATGGATGGATGGCCAGACGAAACATTGACTTGAAGCGTCGCGACGTCTGGAACGTAGACTCGACTCCCCTACCCTCGAATCGGATTCATATTCACATTCAGATTCGTATCAAACACGTGGACACTGGGACACTGGGACCGTGGTCTTCGATTCAAGCCAATTCCAGAAAAGCAAACGTGATTGACAGTTTAACAGCAGCTCTGGAAGGCCTGGAACCTGAAGCGTAATAATACAAATATATGTATATTCCATTCGGAGCACATTCCCTAATCGAATGCTAACGATTCAATGAATGATCAGACATTTAATTTAATCAGAATCTGGCCACTACCTACATACACATACATATGCATGGATGATGATTATCTATCGGGTGGAATTAGCGGGAAACTCTTAATTAATACAATATTGTATTTGCAAATTATCAGAGAATCAGCAAAGAATAGACTATTTCCCCTGGGAAAAGTTTTGCAATCGAAGTGATATAATCCATTGTGAAGACCTTTAGGGAGATTTGATTTTTATTTAAGTGTGTTTTTTTCTTTCATTTTGTATTCCATTTGTTTGTTTCTGCATTTAAGTTTGTAAACATTGCAGGGAATCGCTTTTGTTTTCTGTTTTCTTTTTTTTTTAGCTTTTTTAAGCCATTTTTATAGTTATTTATTAGGAGCTTTTCGAACCGTTTCTTTGTTCTTTTTTGCCTTGCCACACTCCGATATTACACTGTTTCTTTTGGCCTTTACTTTGCACTGTTTTGTAATTTCCTCTCTTTCGTTTGTCAGGTAATTATATTATAATTCTTAAGAACACACGCTCACTAATCGGCTTTGATGCGACCGAAACCAGTTATGGAAGCACCCCCCAACAGAATGACAGGTTCGTTTACCTCTTTATTAGAAATGGGGGGTTCCGGCACCAGAAACCGCTTTAAGTTTTGATCCCACACTCACCAAAAAAAAATAAATCTATTTGGCGTTCCAATTAACTGCAATTATCTGGAAATTCGTCAAGTGCGCGCGACTTTAAGACTTGATGGGGAAATTCTTCGATTCGTTCAAGTGCCGTTAAACCGGAAAAATCTGCACCGAATATACGTTTAAATGGAATCCTCCTTTTGCGTCAAAGGTGATCTTTCTTTCCCTCTCTGAATATGGATCTGATCTCGTACCGATCCGTATGCCTTGACGTTCCCACCGAAAATGTCGAACGGGGGCGCTTTTTCGGGCTTTTCTTCGGCTCTTTCGGGTTTCGGGTTTTTCTTGCCACGAAGCACCCACCGAATGGCAAATGCGAATGCGAAAACGAATGCGAGGGGAAAATCGTGCCGTCTTCGTGCAGTTTTTTGCGTTGTTTCAGCGATCAAAAGTTCTATTGAACTTGGCCGCCACCAACCACCACCACTGCCACACCAGAGAGAGAGAGAGAGAGGGAACCAAGGGAGAGATACGTAGACATGGTTCGTAGACAGGTGCTTGAAAGAAGAGATAACTCTAGCAAAGAAGTGCCCGTTTGGGGGTCATGAACGAGATGCACTTTGCACTTGTTGTTGACCGACTTCTGGGGCCTGTTTCCGCTTGGCTACAGTTTTCGAATTTTACAATTTTACAATTTTACAATTAGAATTGACATTTAATTGAGCGGCCACTGCATCATTTTCATCAGCGCGCAATTGTCGAGGAGTGCAACATGAGTTTTCCCATGAAAATGTATGCCTGCCTGCCAATTAAACAACTGCGGTAGCGGATTGTGTTTTTAAAAAGTTTTTATTTTACTTCGAACTTCACTGATATAGATTTAAGTAGAGGGTCACAAAGGAATTCCGGGCCAAGGGATTGCGCGATCTTAATATTTAGCTAGACTTTGCGGTGTCGCTGCTGGATCAAGACTGATTTGAACTTTCTGATCTTTGCATCGTTGATCCCTTTCGGGAATCGTTTTTCTATAAACATTTCAATTGATTTCGCCATCCCGAGTATTAGATTTCGTCATCCAAAGAGAGAACTGTAAAAGGCCTAAAGTGCAGGATCTGCAGAAAGCCGGGAGTGAGATTGTTTATGAGAAGCCGGGTGTGGGCAAACATTGGTTTTCCATTTAGGCGAGTGTCAAAGAATGGGATTGCGGCGGGGGCGCTTGAGATTGTACATCTTAGAAATCAATTAGGCGGAGGCCCAAGATTGAAATTGTTTTCGTTTTGGAAAACCAAAGATTGTTTACAACTCGTATAAGAGCTCAATGGAATTGGGTACGTTAACTCCCCCCATTCTTAAATGTTTCGTCCCGATACATTTTGAAGTTCTGATAGAGCTCTAATTTCTTCTGACAGTATTTGAATGTTGCTTTCCACTATTTCTTCTGACGGTATTCTTATTGATTTAATAAGTACAAATTTGGTTAATTTATAGCAGAAGTAAAATAACATTAACAATATCAAAATGATTAAAAATAATGTTGTTAATGGTAAGGCCGTATTACCTAATGTTATAAGGGGATTTAAAATATTAACATTATCAAAAGAAAATTGCTTATCATTTGATTGTATATAATCAACTAATTCAAAATCGCTATATCTATGATGCGATATATATTTTAGAATTTTACCCTTATCATTTATGTGGCTTATATTATTT